CACTGTGATAAGTTTTTTTTTGGCAATATTTATTTAACCCAAATATATGTATTTTTTTCATTATTGAAAGATTTCTAAATGTCTATATGGCCGATTTAAAATGAAATTCATTTTTAGTTTTTAAATAAAAATTGATAGTTGTAAAAGAAAAATAAAACTAAAAACAAAAAAAACCCAAAAAAAACGAAGTTTATTTATTATTTTAAACCTAAAAAAATAAAAAGCAGACAGAAGACCCAGCCGACGGAGAAAAATGTGGGCCCCCGCCTTATAAATTGATACATTGTTTATAAAAAAAAAAAAAAAAAAAAAAAAATTTAAAGTTTAATTAACGTATCTTAATTATCAAGTAGAATTTGAGACTTCTGGATTTAATAATATTTTTAGTTGGCCTTAAAAGGTGGAGAAAAAACAAAGTTAATACCACGATGCAAATAATCAGACAAGAGAGGTTGTTTGAAATCCTAATACTAGGAAACTTTATACTATATAAACACAGACATCAATGGTATCTTAAAAGCCGCAACTCAATCGCAAACAGGCCTTCCAGATTTAAGATCCACACACACACAATATATATATATATAAGTAAATAAATACGCGCACATAAAAGTTAGAGGCAAGAGTTGGTGGGGGCATTAGGGACCCCACAGTAGCCTTTTCCCTTTCTTCTATTCTAATAATGGACACTAAAGGCGGCAAGAACTGTATCATCATCATCTTCGTAGTGAGGATTTTTTTTAATTAAGGAAATAATGAAATAAGACTTAAAAAAATAAATAAAAAAAAAAAAAAACATTTTTTTTTGCTTACTATTCTATGTTAATCTTAAAAATAATGATTCAATTAAAAAAAAAAAAAGCTGGATTTTTTTTTTCATAACCAAATTTAAATTGAAAAATAAAAAAAAAATACCTTTTTATTGATCGGTTTTCTTTTATATTATGAAAGTAATCAAGTAAAAAAAACAAAAAAAACAAATAAAAATAAAAAAAAATTGATCAAAGTATTTAATAAGTACAGAAAACAAACAAAAAACCCCAAAATCTTGACAGATTCACTTTTTAAATTTTCTAGTTTTTGTCTGTTAAAAATTAATTAAATACACGGAATAATAAATGGTTGGACAGCATTAGTTTTTGGTCTTTTATGTCTTTTGCAAATATATTAAGTTAAAATATTAGTTAAAAAGAAGAAAAAAAAATCGTAAATAAATCGAAAGAAAAAACAAGAAAAAGAACCTCACTTTCCTGACGCGTGTGCGCAAAATTCGGGTGGCCCAAAAGACAGAGATCTGTTTAAAAATAAAATTCAGTTTGAAACTGAACCCTCATTTACTAACCACTCCGGATAAACAACGAAACTGTGGCTGGATATTATTATTAAGAATAAATAAAATATCTAAAGTTGGTTAGTAGAAATAAGAAAGGTCTCAAAGCAAATTTTAACCACTTTTAAAACCAGGATTAATAATAATAAAATAGACAATATAGATAGTGTCACTAGTGTCAACTGTTAATGTTTTAGGCTAGGAATTACATCTTATTAACTTTAACTGATTAAATTTATTTTGTTTATATGTTCGTCTGACTGTAATATTAATTAATTAAAAGTGGAAAAGCTTAAATTACATAAAGTCGGGTAGATAGAGAGGAAAAAAAAAAAATTTTTTTTAATTTTAGAGATACGATATGACATTGCCTCTTTAATCCAAAAGAAAATATTGATTGATCTCGTCTAAAATTGCAACCATAAAGAATCAAGTATAGAGAAATGGAAAGGAAAGAAGAAAAAAAAATATTTGGTTCTGAAAATAATGGAATCATTGGAATCGCTTGTCCATTTTTCAAAAATCATCGTGGGGGGAAGAGAAAGTTAGAAAAGAAAAAAAAGAAAAAAGAAAGGAAAGAAAAGAAATGGGGACTCTAAAATAAATGATAAAAACTACAGTCCTGTGCTTTTTGTAAAAGAAGGCCCAGAAGAAAGGGAGTTCAAAACTGTCTAAGAGACAAACCATCAATGACCATACTAGAGTTGGGGGTGCGGTCTTTGGCTACTTGAATTAAGACATCAAACTAGTAGCACAATAACCATACCACAGTAGAAACTAGTAACTAGTCGCTTTGTATTTGCCACTACTACAGTTTTGCATAGATTGAAAAACAGTCTATGGATAAAATGAAAGAAAAAAAGCCTTTAATTTATTCCCTATGCTTTTTCTTTTCTTTCTTTTTTAACTCCCACAATTGGCTCCTTGCTTGAGTTAAAAGATCGGGGTTGATAAGAAAAGGGGTATAAAAGAGGACAGTTTTGCCAGAGACAAAACACGACTAACCCAATATCCCTATAGATTTAAAATAAATAAATAAAAAGTGTAGAGTTGATTGTGTGGTGGGGTCAGGTTAAAAAAAAGCCCCTAAAACCATCTGAGAAGTGGGAGGAAATGTACATTTTTGAAAGAATAGACACATGGACTACCTTTTTTGAAGATGCAAATATCTGACACTTTATTTGATCGGTGCTCGTTTTTTAAAATTATTTTGTTTGTTTTTAGTAATGTTTGTATTTATTGGTAGTCTAAAAGCCAAGAACAATATAGGCATGGCAGAGAGAAAAGACTTTTTTGTCCTCATCATATTTCAACTACTAGAGTGGTCACTAAACATGTTTTTTTTCTCTCTCTCATTTTTTTTTTAATAAAAACGAATACAATACTTTGAACCCCGACTTTATGTCCAGGCAAGATCTTTCACACACACACATTGACCTACTACTAATATTACTACTACTAGTAGCAAGTGCCTTGCTAGTAGCAATAAGACCGATTTTTGTTGTTTTTTTGTTAAATAAAGATATCAAGTGAATGAAATATCTATGTATATACATAGTTGTTTTTTAAGTTTACATAAAAAAAAAAAAAAAAGAAAAGATAACAGCTTTATCTTGACATGATGGCATTTAAGTAAAAAGAAAGATCGTAATTATATTTGAAAATTAAAAACAAAAAAAAAATATTATTTTAAACACAAACCCGGAAATATTTTTTTAAAAAATCAGGGCTTTAACAATGATCATATATAAATGGTTGATCAAAATCATCAATCGAAATATTAATTTCTTTATATATGATAGATACACGTTAGGCATCAAAGAACACACACATTTATTTAGTGCATTTCAGAACCAAATTAAATGACTAGTTTATTATAGTCCTGTTTTCTTTTTAATTAATTCCTTAAAGTCTTTTTGGTTTAAGGATGAAAAATACCTACGATAGAAATACAGAAAAAAATATTAAAAAAAAAAATAACGAACTTTAACAAAAGGAAGGCCTTGTATAATTTTTAGGACAGTTGGTAAATAGGCAGATACTTTGATGTGGCCCTCATCTCTGATTTAATTTCCTCTTACATTTATATATATATTGAAAAAATGTGTGTGTGTGAGAAATGAGTGATCTTCTGATGATTTTAAGTATTTTTAGCTATGAAAAGCTACATACCTGCCGGTTTTACAAGAAAAAAAAAAAAAGAAAAAAAGAGAGAGAGAGAAAAGGAAAGACAAGAATAAAAGTTAAAAGATCAAAGGGAAGGGTCGGTAAGTTTGTATATTTTTTTATTATTTATTTAAGACGAAGAAATAATCTAATCAGACAAAAAAGTAAATAAGTTACTAAATAAACTCCAAAATTATTCTAAAGAAAAAAAAAAAAAAAAAAAGCAAAACAAAAACATAGTATAAATAAACTTTAGACATATACCAAGGATTGAAATGAATTAGAGGACTTTATTGCAATACATAATTTGAATTGAATTAAGATCGGATAGAAATGATTTTAAATTGACAAAAGGGTATTTTTTTTATTTTTTTTTTTTTAAATTGTTTTATTTATATATATATATTTTTTTTAAAAAAAAGACAAAAAAAAAAAAAAATAAAAAAAGGCGGGGGTTTGTTTAAAAAAAACAAAAAAAAACAACAAAAAAAAAAACCTACCATCTTCTGGCCGACCTGAATTAGACTTGTCATTCCCTGGGTAACTTTGTCCCGGTAAACTGGAGTTTTTTCCCTGAAAATGTAGATATACATTGATAATTTTAAAACTCCGTTTCTGAGATGGTGGAAACAAGTTTTAAAAAAAAGGGGGGTAAAATCCTCCAACATATAAAAATGTTTGTGTGTGTGTGTGTGTGTGTGTGTGCTTTATTTATTTATAATTTATAAATGCGTGCGTGTGCGTGTATATATTTATGTGCGTGTGTGTATGTAATGATGTATATATATATATAATAAAATTTTTAAAAATTAATCATGAAAAATCCATTTTTTTTTATCCACAACAGGACGATTTTTTTTCTGATTTTTTCTTGTTTTTTCTCCTCTAAAATTTCCATCATTTTTTTTTCTTTCTTAAACACTAAGAGATACCACCTACCTCTTCACTTTCAGTTACCAAGCCCAACTTATCTTCGGAAAGATTTTCCGACGATCGCTTTTCTTCTTCCCCTTCATCCTTGTAAACTTTGACCTCGTCTTTAGAGAAAAAGTCCTCAGAGCCGCCCGAACTAACGTGCGGCATGGTCAAAGAGAGTTAAAGGTACGTAATATCCCTTAGAAATCAAAGACTCTCTATACACGTTTTGAATCCGCCATGAAAATACTACGTCAAGATAGTCAAGCTAATAGCGCCCAATTAGAAGCATGTACCCGACAACCGACCAATCAGAGAAGAGCTTACAAACAGACCTCGGCTTTCACCTGCGAAGTTAGAGTAGGAGGTAAGCCCAATGAAGGGGGATGAGGTAATGTTACTGTGAGAAGAGGAGGTTAAGTTAGTGAAGGAGGGTGACAAAGCTTGACTGTGAAAGGAGGAGAAGGTACAAACAAAGAAGGAGGTGGAGGAGAGCGAGCTTGTTAGGTTTTTGAGCGAGGGGGAAGAGATAGAAATAAAGCGCTATGGAAGTAGGAGGAGGATGAGGATGAGAGGCAGGCAGGAAGAGATGAAGGCAATAGAAACAACTTTTTTTGTTTTCTTTTTCTCCAACATCCATCTTTCTTTTCTTACCCCCTCTCTCTCTTTTGTTCTCTCTTTCTTTCTCTTTATTTTTTTCTCTTGTTTTCTTCTCTTTGTCTTTTTCTTTTCTCTTTGTTTTTCTCTTGTTTCTTTTTCTCTTTGTTCCTCTCTCTTTATTTTTCTCTGTCTTTTTTTTAACTCGTTTTATAAATAACATCGTTTTTTGTTTATTTGGTTCTTCTTCTTCTTCTTCTTCTTCTTCTTCTTCTTCTTCTTCTTATTATTATTATTATTATTATTATTACTTATTTGTTAATGTCATTTCTCCAAAATTCCATACAATGTGGTTTTCTAAGTTTCTGTCTTTCCTTTTTATAATGGATCTATTTCTTATTTATTTTTCCCTTTAGTTTTTTTTTATCTACTTGAACTTATTTATTTAATTATTTTTAATACAGTTTATCTTTTTAATTTTTTGTTTTTAGAGAGAAGAGAAAACTATGAAATATCTTGCCGAATAAGTTATTTTTGTTTTAACCCTTAAAAAAAATAAAAGTAACATTTTCTCTTTTTTTTTCTTTTTCTCTCGTCTTCTCTTAAAATATAAAACGTAGTTGTTTTTTTCCCCTCTTTGTTTTATTTCTATCTATATCTTTATTTTTTTTACTAGTCAGTTCTATCAAGACAGGTTGGAGTAATATTTTTTGGAGAGACATGAATTTAAGCGCCTGTTTCCAGCATCTACGAATAATGTAGAGAAAACAGTAAACAGGTTCTTGTGTTCTTTATTGTATCAGTGTGTCGGTGCGTGTGTGCGCGTGTGATCGTCCCTAGTGTCAGGGAAGGAAGGAAGAAATTTTAGTTGTTTGTTGAATGTCCAACACAAGCTTAGATGTTTTTTAGCTGATATTTTTCTTGTTGTGTCTATAAAGAAAAAAGATCTTTCTTTTCCTTCTTTCTTTCTTTCTTTCTTTCTTTCTTTCTTTCTTTCTTTCTTTCTTTCTTTATTTCTATTACTTGATTTCCCCCTTTCTTTTCCCTTTTATTTCTTTTTAGTTTTCAGTTTAAATTCCATCTCTTTATTGTTCGTTCTTCTTTATCCCCTTTTCCTCTTTTGTTTTTCTCTTTTCTTGATTTTTCCTTTTCTTTCTTTTTCCTTTGTTTTCCCCCTTTTCTTTTCGTTTATTTTCGTTTCTCTCTCTCTTTTTTTTAACTATTTATATACCGTATTTTTTTTCTTTTCTCCTTCGACTTGTTTTCTTCTATCTCTCTCTACCTTGTAAATAATTTCTTTCTTTTTTTTCTTTCTTTCTTTTTTATGTTTCCTATCTTCTCTCTTTCTCTTTCCGTCATTCATTTTTTCTTCTCTCTCTTTTATTTCCTTTCTTCTCTTTATTACAGTTCTTTCAATTTGCAGCGATCTCTCATTTTTCTTCGCCTTATTTATTTTTTCCACTTCTAAAATAATTTCTTATTCCTTCTTTATCTTTACTTTATTTATTTCATTCGTTCCTTCCTGGCTGCTTTATTCCCTTTTCTTTCTTTCTTTTTTTTTTCACTCCTCTTTCTTTTTTCATTTTTCTTCTCTCTTTTATTTCTTATTCTTTCTTTATTATCTATATTTCAACTTCACATCCTCTCTATCTCTCTTTCTCTGTATTCCTTTCCTTTCCCATTTTAGAACAATTTCTTTCTTTCTTTCTTTCTTTCTTTCTTTCTTTCTATTTTGATTTTTGATTGTTAATCTTTCGTTATCGTCTTCCATTCTTTACCGAAACTAGCATAATTAAACTTCACGTTTTTACACATTTGTGCAAAAGTTTCCAGCGAAAAACTGGTTTCAATTGTGTACTCACAAATCAAAAAGAGGGCTGAGGACTTTTGCACACAGCTAATTTATACTAGCATAGTACTTGTAAAAAAAAAGGGCTAGTGTTATTTACGTTTATGTCGGCATTCCTGTATCTGTGCTCTCTGCCTAAGATCAAAGTGTCGCTCCCTGGCCCTCTGCCTAGTATCAGAGTGTCCCCGACAATTCTGCTTAGGATCAGATTTCGGGAACTGGACAGTTTTTGTTCTTGCCCACAAACATACCCGTTTGGGCAACCCACATTAAAATTGACCATGTGTAACATTCTACCCTTTTGAAAAAAGTAAGTAAAAGATTGGCGTGTAGTATCTGTAAGCTCTTAGGGTGGAAAATAAAGATTGTGTTGGTTGGTTGTGGGGTATACACACACGCACTTTGAGCTGTGAAGTATTTCCTATTTCCAAAAATGTATTCCTTTCCTAATTTTTTTTTTTTTTTTTTTTTTTGCTTGCTTGATTGAATTTGGAATAAAGTGAAGAAATTTTGGTCCCTTAGCAGGTGGGATTAGAAAACAAAAAGATTTTAAAGAAACACCAAGTGACGAGTTTGGACAGTCAAGTTATGAGTCCAAATTAAATGTTTTCGCACCAGTCTTTTGATGGTGTGCCGACTCAATCTATGATTTCAGGACTCCAGGAGATCGGGGTGGGGGTCAAGAAGGAAAGAAAGACAAGAATAATCTCCCAGAAATTCTCACTTAGACCTAATAGAACCGCCATTACACACACACACACACACACACACTATATATATATATATATATATATATATATATATATATATATATATATATATATATATATATATATGGTTTTTAGCCTGAAATATTCGTCTTTTTCCTGATTCGCATTTTTAAATGTCTCTAGACAAATAATTTCGCTTTAAGATGATACTCACTAAGCAAGAACCTTGCATCAGCTTCGGGGCGCGGTAATTTTTTAGTGCAAGGAAAAAAGGAAATTATCTACAACTGTTGTCGGCTGGTCGATTATATTCTTTGATGTTTAGAAACGCCTTTGTGATACCTTATACGGCAATCACACGACCACTTATACGTTATTTGTTTACACTAGTACTTTTGTCGCTGTCGTTACACACTCAGCTAGGCAGAAGTTGCAGTAGATACATTTGCAAGAACCCCCCCCGTTTCATCTTTCTATTTACTTACTCTTTTCTTTTTTCTTTTCTTTACTTTCTTTTTTCTTTTCCTCTTTTTTTTTCTTAAAAACTCAAGTGCGTTTGAGAACACGTGTGTGTGTGTGTGTGTGTGTGTGTGTGTGCGCGTGCGCTCGCGAAGGAGAAATTGTTTCTTGAAGATAAAATTCAATATCCACTCACTTCATTTATTTGGATTCTGTTCTTTTTCTTTACTTATGATGGATTTTTTGTCGAAAATATACCTCCCTTTGCATTTTGTATTTTAAACCCAGCACAGTTTTGTTAATTTTCATTTAAATTTATTAACAATAACAACAAAAAAATATATATATATACATTCTCTTTTTCTTCTCCCGGTAGGGTCCTCTTTTTAACTCAACATTTTATTTGGTTTTATCGGAATTGAAATCAAATTGGATTAAAAAAAAAAAAAAAAAAGAAAAACAACAGAAAGATAGAATATGGAATTTTTCTTCTTTGTCCTTTATTCTATCATATATCCCTCCACATACACACACATACATATATATTATATGCGCAGTACTTAGAGGAAAGTACTCAATATCCGTGATAGAGCTAACATATTCAGTTGCTTGCATGGATAGCAGCTTGTAACCTCGGGTTTCACGCTTTTGCAATCATTTGCGTGCTGATCGGAAAGGCGTGAAACCCGGGGTTACAAGCTACTATACATGTAACTGAATATGAAGAAAAATATATACGGAAAAAACAAACAAAAATCCTTATGTACAATTATGCTATTTTAATGTTAATATGTCAACGTCGGACGTTTCGGTCTAATAAACCATCTTCAGGACATATTCATAAATTTTAACATTATCAATACAACATGACAAAGACATATTAACATTAAAATAGCATAATTGTACATAAGGATTTTTGTTTGTTTTTTCCGTATATATTTTTCTTCATACTGTCGGATCTATATCCATATATTTGCTTATTCTTTGTGATTATATATATAGGGAGATATAGATATATATTCTTTATATAATCATAAAGAAAGTTATTGTTCAGAGTTGAATTAGACAAAAATATATTTGAAGATCACCCGATCACGCTACCTTGGTTTCAACCTTTCGGTACCTTCAGGCGATTATATATATATATATATATATATATATATATATATATATATATATAACGTTATCCTCTTGAATTTTAGAGTTATTATTAACTGAATTTAGCATCGTATAGTACTAGGTAAAAATCGACATCGGAGATAATGGCCTTTGGGTTCTAATATGGCCGATAGAATTTACTGGAAAATTCAATTGATATACAACATCATATATATATATGTGTGTGTACACACACACACACACACACACACACACACACACACACACACACACACACAAAATATTGGGTACATCAACTGATTCAAAAAAAAAAAGCGTACCATGATGAAAAAATGTCCTAAACTTCAATTTCTTTCAGTTCCTTTTTTTATTGGTATGGCTTCTTCCTTTCTTTGTTTCTTTCGTTCTTTATTTGCCACCTTTCTTTCTGGTCCACTTTTGTTTGTTTGTTTGTTTGTTTGGTTGTTTCTTTCTTTCTTTCTTTCTTTCTTTCTTTCTTTCTTTCTTTCTTTTTGCACCTCCTTTCTTTCTTTTTTCTTTGTTTGTTTGTTTGTTTCTTTCTTTCTTTCTTTCTACTTTTTGTAATGATTGTGATAGCTTAGAAATCAAGAAGGATATATATATTTCTCCTTCTCCTAGGTTAACTTTTTCGTAACGATTATACCCAACCCGGCCGTCGGTACTGGAACAATATTAACAAATGTTTTCTTTTCTTCTTTTCCTTTATAATGTGCCTGTCACTTTTAACAGAATTAATAAATAAATACAAAAAAACACGAAAAGCAAAAAATAACAAACAAACTATATCAATATTTGGAAGAAATATATACTTCCTTGCCTTCTTTCTTACACAGATATTTTTATTAATTTTCTTCTTTCTTTCCTTTTTACGCGGTATTAAACTTGAGATGTCTGTCCGCCAAATATTACTCATTTTTCAGACACTAGTTCATCTTGGTCGAATTGTTTGCTGGAAATACTCCGTCACTTGCAAAAGAAAAAAAAAAGTAAAGTCAAAAAACCGTTGAAATCAAAGCCTGATAACACACTTATCATGATATATATATATATATATATATATATATATATATATATATATATATATATATATATATATATCTAGTGCACACACACACTCACCTCAAGGAACAATTTGAGTCTTTTAAAAAATATACACAAATATAAAAAAAAAAAATATAAAAAATTAAATAAAATATACACAAATATAAAAAATATACACAATTTTTAAATATATTTTTAAAATATAAAATATAAGTAAATAAATATATTTTAAAATATAAACTATAAAAATAAAATATAAAAAATAAAAATAAAAATATACACAAATATAAAAAAATATACACAGTTTTTTAAATATATTTTTAAAAATAAAATTATTCACATTATTTAGAGTTTATTTTAGACAAAAGGAAAGAAGGTTTGTTGCCGAAATATGCAATTATGTGTTTGTGTGTTTGGGCAGCAATCCCTCTTAAACAGGTTTTATTTAAGATGACTGACAAGGCAGTGCGATTAAGTTTTTATTGTGTTTTTCTTGCATTCGTACAAGAAAATGTCTTTTTCGGATATTGTCTTTGGGACAGTTCTTACTCCCAAAAACTACGCATGCAAAAAAAATAAAACATTTAATCACAGTACCTTTTCAGCCATCTTCAATGAAACCTCTGTGTGTGTGTGTGTGTGTGTGTGTGTGTGTGTGTGTGTGTGTGTGTGTGTGTGTATTTGGGCAGCAACCATTCTTTTAGACATGTTTTGTTGAGTATGATAGACAAGGAATAATTTGTTGAAATTCTTTTTTTTTTTTTTTTTTTAGTTTTTCTTGTATTCTTAAATGTTGTCCTAAGCGATTTCGGCCAATTCTTTAGCCATTTTCAAAGGGTTTGTTGTTAATTTCTTTTCAATTTCATGGTTCATAATATATACATACATACATACATACGTATGTATGTATATCTATCTATCTATCTATCTATCTATCTCTCTCTCTATATATATATATATCAGAAATAAAGGTGTGTCGTGTTGTTGTTCTTCTTTTGTTGTTGTCTTAAAAGTGTAGATTTTTCGCTATTCCTTCAAACGAATTTTCAAATTACAATTATTACTGATTAAAAGTGAAAAGTCGGCCTTGTGTGTTGTGGGGTGCGAGGAGGGAGCGGAGCGAAGGGGGTCCTGGTTAGTTTGGTCTCAGCAATTTATCTCGCTTAAATGCTTAGTTGACCTGTATGTAGTCTCAATACAGACCGAGTGAGTGCCCACCCCACGGCTCGTCAGCAGTGCTAAAAAAAAGGAAGACAAGAAGACTGTGTGTGTGTGTGTGTGCGTGCGTGCGTGCGTAGAGGGGGTGATGGTTGATTAGTTGGGTGCGCCAAATTTTTAAATTGACTTCATGACGATGACGACGACGGCTGCGGCTACTACAACGGCGACATTTAGAATTTAGCTTCTTTTTTTTTTTTTTTTTTTTTTTTTTTTTCGAGGAATTAGATTTTGACAAAATGCCTTGTAAAGGAAGAACAGAGAAATCCAATTCTGTTAGGACAATTTTTGTTACGCAAAAAAAAAATATTCTTGTTTT